TGTAGAATGACGAAACAGGTGTAGAATGTGAATGAAGGTGATACATCCCTGCAGGATTGGAATATATATGACTACGATGGATCTGGGAATAGCTACAGGGTGTTCTACCCAGGGTCCGCCGCTCCTGAGGCATCAAGGATGCGGAACAGCCACCTGCGCTTTGCGGACGTGGTGCCTGAAAGGCACGGCGAGCGCGAGCGCTGAGGTCGTGTTCGTGGGGCGCCGCTTTCGCCAGTTTCGATGTAGTTGAAAATGGTGGACTGGGACGGTGGTTTGGTGTATCCTGACTTGTACCAACACCTTCAAAGGGGTTACCTGGCTGGAAGCCTCAGCCCAACTACTATCCGGGATCTCTGTTGGACACCCCAAAAGTTGTTTGGGATTTGGAAGCTAGGGAGAGACGATCCCGTTGCTTGGTGTAGAAAATCATAAGAAACCAGTTCCACATTTCGACCCAAAACAATATCTGCCAGCACATGCCTTTCGGGATCTCCAAATTTTGACTACCGTACGCTACACTTGCGGATCTCCATTTTTTTGCACCCTTTGTTTAGGTCCAGGTGGAGTTGTAGGAGTCCTGGAATTCACTGGTAAACACCAGCATGGGCGTTTTGGGCGATTCAGTCGACCATGCGTAGCCCCACCAGGCCGGAGGAAGCCAAAGCTGCGAAAGCCAAGGGGGTGACTCCGCATTCGAAGTGCCCAGCGTCGTTTTGTTCAGATGGTGTGCTCAGCAAGTTGACCATGATTGAAGAACAACCAATATGGACGATGCCATTTGTCATTGCATAAATAGTAGAGTGTAGACATTAGATTTCTAGCTTGATGTGCATCTAGCGTTTATCATGTATAACTTTGTTGCGAGATCATGCTGACAGTGTTCCCCTGCTGATCAATTTGGCCGAAACCCTGAATCAATGAGCAACACAAAAACCACTGGCATTGGGGCTCATCCAGTCTTATTTGTCCTTTGGCTTTCCTGATAAACAAAATTTGTAATATGGTGTGTTGGTCATTTCAACTTTACATCAACAACGTTCCTTTAGGACCTTTTACCCTGCAACCTTGTGATTTGTTTCACTTTTCCTTTGGTCTCAGCTACTCTCACCAGCCAGCCAGTCATGTTTCGACCTGTTTCGTCCGTCCTGCCTCGCTCGATGGTGGCCTCCAGGAGTACCAATGCTTCCAAAAGCGAAGCAAAAGTTGACTTCAAACCACGACGTCAAACAACGATGCGTCAGACCATACCATTTCTGGGATGCTGCTGGATGCGTCAGACCACGAACGCTCCGGAATGCCCTTGCCCACATCCTCCCAGTTCGGCGCGGAAGAGAAGCGTTTGGCTTCGCCACGTCTCCGAGGCTTCGCCCAGAACCTCACAGCGCTCCTCGATCTCCTCAGTCTCCTCGGACGCGCGGCAGGCCTTGCGCCATGGCACCTTTGGCAAACAGATGGCCATTAGATCGAGCTGTGCTCGACTGGTCGTCAGCGGACGGCATTCGGGAAGTTGTTGGTTCATCACCATTTTGTGTGGCGTCTTTGGGAGTTTGCATTGCAATCATGAACCTCCCCCCGTTGGCAAAATTTGGGAGACAGAGTTGTGTTTGCATGTACAGTAAAAAAACATTGCAGCAAGGTTTGTCCCTCGCAACTAATACTTTGAGCGAACATGACAGAATCAAGAGGCACAGTGAAAGGAGTTGGAGGGGAAACGACAAGATCAACTGTATATTTTTGCAGGACTTGCTCGAAGGGGACAGGTATTATTCTCAACAAAAAGGGTAAGGTCAGTTCACTATCATCACGGCAATATCGGTGAGAAGGAAGATGACTCGTAGTAACCTGAGTCTATTGTTGCAGCCTAGTAGATAGTGGGAGTTGAACGGCAAGTTAATTGGTGGCTGTATAGTGTATAAATGAAAAATTATTGGCATTCCAACGGGGTACCCTTTGAACAAATTCTGTTGGGAGTGCGTGTTTAAATATGTTTTGTAGGGCTGTAATGCCTATAGCGATCCAACTATGGTATTGGTGGATTTATTTGGATGAGAGAGCAGTGCTGGAGAGAGTTGTGTTTTGTAAGTGATATGCGATGTCAAACCGGTAAGGAACATTCACCGCAAGGCACAGCTTGAGCCACAGCTTTGTTTCAACTCGTGAAAAACCTCAATGAGATCAAGTATACAAAAACATGTTTGGACTTTTGGAGGAAGAGAGTTTGTTGTACTTGGCCGGTTTTAAGTAACAAGACATGTTTGGTTAGTCGGCTTGTAGTGTCCAGGTTTCAGGACCATGTGTTTTTATGTCAAGGTGCTAGTTGTTGCCATCCAACATACCAGGCCAACGTAGTGCCGTGCCAACCCAGGTGCCCTTTGATGTTCAACTGGACAAAAACAAAATGCACCTCCGCCGGGTTGTCCCCAAAACCGTCCAGACCTCGCTTCACCCAAGGTGCGGGTCGCAGGACCATGTTCTTCGACAAGTCACCTGAGGACGCGGTGAATGTTTTTTCCCGGCCACGGTGCAGATGCTTCGTCGGTTGCATGGTTCGAGCAACATGTGTGCACTCCAGAAGGATTTTGGGTAAATCAGCAAGAGACTCATGAATGCTCGCCATGGTCACGGCCAATGGACTTGGCCATATGGTTTGCAATGGTGCTGCAGGGTCTCACCATTTTCGGGCCCACAGAAACTGCCATCACTGAGCAAAGAAGCCGTCTTCCATTAAAAAAGACAGTTCCCCTTTTACTAAATGCCGAACCTGGACTGTTTTGGTGAACCTGGACAAAACACGGTAGATGGACCATGAAAGGCCCCCTTTCTTAAGGGTGTGAGACAGGATGGCTCAAAGTTCAAAGGATAGAATAGGGAATAGGGGGTGTGTATTTGAAGAGGGAGACCTCTGCCTCAATGGGAACGTGTGTCTCCCGATTTTAATGCGCACAAGCAGTTTCCATATGTTTTCATTCATAACAGATACTGCGTTTTTGCACGAGCGAGAGGGTCGCCTATAGCTGGAAGGTCTGCCAGCTGCATCGTTTGGGTGGACATCCGCATCCAAAAAGAGATCGAATGGGCATAATGCCATGTCGATGTTAACGTGGCAGATCGAACACCTACTCCCTCCCTTCGCTTGAAGGAGATGGAGGCGATGTTTCAAGAAGCTTTGAACCAAGAGGCCGAGCAGGAAGAGGTGATTGTGCCAGGCGAGAAGAGCGGATCGTCAGCTCTCCGTATACGCTCTGATCGATGGACATTTGATGAAAGACTGTTTGGTTTCACAGCGGGTCCTGAGCGGAGTGCGGAGTGCAGGACTTACATTCAATGGTTCAAGGATCAATTCCACGGTCCACGCCATATCTATTGTTATTCTGCCAATACACGGAAGAAGAAAAGGGATAGCAAAAAGGACACAGAACGTTGACAAATTCCTGTGGAATGAATATACGTGGATATATTGGGGGGTCCCCAAACTAACTATTCTAAACTTTTTTTGGCCTTACATAATCTTTACATAAGCATCCTGGAAAACAATGATTTTCCACATGTTTTTCCACATGTTTTGGTCAGTTTTTCCACATGTTTTCCACATGTTTATGCCAGTTTTCCACATGTTTTCCACATGTTTTGGTCAGTTTTTCCACATGTTTTTGTCAGTTCTTCCACATGTTTTCCACATGTTTTGGTCAGTTTTTCCACATGTTTTTGTCAGTTCTTCCACATGTTTTGGTCAGTTTTTCCACATGTTTTCCACGTGTTTTTGGCAAGTTTTTCCACATGTTTTGACAAGTTGTTCCACATGTTTTGGCAAGTTTTCCACATATGTTGGCCTGTTTTTCCACATGTTTGGGCATTTGTTCCACATGTGTTGGCCTGTTTTTTTTCCACATGTTTTGGTCGGTTTCCACATCTCTTTTGTAAGGTTTGAATCTGTGTTTGGCATGTTTTCCACATGTCACATATAACATATCGGTTACAGTCAAGTTAAGTTATATACTTCTTGCATGTTACGTCCATGCCGGTCCATGCCGCATATGAGTCGCATACGCCGTTCCCTTCCAGGTGTGTTTTTCCACAAGTGACACAAGTGCCCATGTCACATGTCTTTCGGCCAATTGTTTTCCGGCAATGAAGTCCAAATGTCAATGGATTCAATGGACGATCTGCATCAAATGATCCATGGACGCAAGCAATGCAAATCAAATGAATGAACAAACAGTAACAAACTAAACAGTAAACATGAACATCAATCTACTCTTGCCAAATTAAATCAAACTTGCCTTGTTGGTCCCTGCTGTGTCCGTGGCTATGTTCACTCCACATCACTATGCCGACTATGCCGACTATGCCCTCTCAATGCCCTCTCGATGGTCAAAGCACCTCAGACTTCAGAAACATCAAAACATATCAGAACCACCAATTGAAAAAATAAACAAACAAACAATCAGAATCAGAACATTCAAAGATTGTCCTGAGATAAGAGAGAATGACATGGAATCTGTATCGGCATCGGTATCAGCAAAAGAAACAGAACTTGGCAACTGGGTTTTCCAGGCTGCTTATGGTCAAACTTCATGGATTGTTCTAGGCTTAGGTTTTAGTTTCAGTGATATATGATATATGATTTGCGATTCAATCACGAATCAGAAATCTTGTCTCTTCAACGTAAACGTGAAATCTGAAATTCTGAAATTATGCAAGGCCACCAGAGCTTAGAACTGTTATCTCTCGAACCCCAGTTTAGCCAAACAGTTATTCTACCCAAGTTACAAGACAAAGTCTTACAAGAGTTTGAGTCTCAGCTCACCACCGCAAGGGGTGCTGCACGCTGCAAGGTGACAAGAACCTGCAGGCAGGCCGCAACGGCGACGATCCAAAAACGTGAAATGAAAAACGTGCTCCGCAAAACATTCACTGATTCACTGCATCATCAGACCATCGTCATTGTGTCTTTTTTCCTCAACGTCCCTCAGATCACATCCGATCTGACAACAAAACTTCTATTTTGTGATCGCCTTCAAGGCGGAGCAGTGTGCCTTTGGCTGGGCCTTGGGCATAGTCTTAGATGTGGTCTTCTTCATTGGTAGGGTCAAGCAGCGTGCCTTTGGCAGGGCCTTGGGCATCGGCATAGCCTTAGATGTGGCCTTCATTGGTAGGGTCAAGGACTGCGACCCTTTTGACTGGTCCTTCTCTGCAATTCGTACCCAGATGATGGCGCCTCTAGGGTGGCAATAGGGGACAGGCTTCTCATATCGCTTTGGGTCTTTCAGGACCCAGGCAAAAACCTTCTGGTACTTGATGGCGCTGAGGTCCTCTACCTGGTGTTTGCTCAGGTGGTGCACCAAAAAGTTCTCTTCGTTCCCCGCAACCTCGACCAGGTTACCCTGCTCATCTCGCTTTGCCACCATGAAGCAGTCGATGAGCTCGACTTCGCCGAACAACTTGCTGCTTCCAGTTCTGGCCAAACTGATCAAGCCACGCCGACTTGTGGCAGATCCTCGAAGCTCCCAGCTCTTCTTGTTGCTCAAAATCAGTTCCAGCCAAGGTTCATGTAAGAGTAATGCCGCTGGCGGTGGCATTCTGAGGCTCTTGAGGACAGGGGGTCCACTCTAACAAATGATCAAAAATGCTACGCGTCACAAGTCTACACATTCATGATTCATTATTACTTACCATGTTTGTTATTTGCATTTATTTGCCAATTTGCAAACCAATGCAACTGCATCCACGACAAATGTATAAATTAGAATCGAAAGTACTTAGCACGCTTCTTCTTCCAGCTTCGAAGGTCTCAAGCCAGGTTGCTCCCGGCCTGCCCATGTTTATTCCTCACCCACAATGCGTCAGAGTCGCACTCAAGCAAACTCTAGGTCCTGCCTACGGAAGTACGGAAGTTCAAAAAGCTAGCCTATAGACTACATAGAGACATAGTCTGACATAGTTATGTAACATAGTCACATAGTCAGACTTATCATATAGACTATGACTATAGACTATTGAACTTATTAACTGTTAATTAACTTATATAGTTTGTTATGTTATTTTACATATTGTCATTGTCATGAGTCATATATATATATATATCAATATATATCATATTCATGGTATTATATAATCATATTATCCTTGTCATGGTTATAAGTTATAAGACTAAACAAACGACTAAATATAGTAAAGTCTACTGACTTTGACACGTTGAACATTGACAACAAACAAACAAATGACTTGCTCCGTCCAGCTTACATTTCCACTAAAGACTGAAGCATCTATATAGGCCGCGAACTCCTGCATTGGTGGGTACTCCCCTAAGAGCCAGAGGCTCACTTGATTGAAGGATCACATGTGACAGGACGCGGACGCGGCTTTCAGCCATCCCGGCAAGTTCCTAAGTTCCATGTCCATCCCTAACCGCACAGATTCTGCGATAGTGCGCTCTGCAAAAACCCTAGCTTCCAAGATCTAATAGTGGAGATCTTGCTTGCTACCCTAGGTTGCCAGCCAACAAGCCTACTGTTCACAAAACCACAAGGTAATCAATCATGCCATGAAAGTACGGTGAACGAAGCACCTATGAAAATGTTTGATGGCTAGTCAAGCCGATACAAAGCTTGCCCTGGGCTGACATGGAGAAAATACAAAATCGTGGCCCAACTCAGGATGATCCAGCCATGGAAGGAGCTGAATGATTCTTGCCAGGCGAAACAGTCTTCGTCTGAACGTTCTCCATCGTCGATGCCACCTTGTTGAGATACAAGTCAAGGTTCGGAGGCATTTTGACCTGCAAGCAGTGCGCTTTAGGAGGGTGTCTCAGAAACAAGACCCTCCTGTGACAGCAATATTTGACAATGACAATGACAATAATTAATAGTAAGAATCAGAGTATGATTCACAACCGACCCTTCGACATCAATAGTCATTTTGTCACAATTGTCAATAGAAAAATCAACAACCAATAATAATAATACATAATATATATATATAAAAAAAATAATCCTTTGTAAATTCGGATTCAGGTTTGATGGATTCAAACTGCTGCCCTCGTGTATGCCGGCCGTAAGCTGTAAGCCGCTGTAAGCCTGCCAGTGGCTGTGGAAGTATTGATAAGTACTGGATTCCCTGGCCTGCTTGGAAGCACACATTGTTTTGGCCCTCCGCGCAAGTGATGCCCTTGATTCATCTGATTTGAGTGGGCGAGCCAGTGCTTGCACCACTGCCAACCTGTCATCCCAAAAAAGATCAAGAAAAATCATTGGGACGGCATACTGATTCTGACTACAGTGAATCAGCAGTGGCATGACCAGGTTAGCTTACTCATTCTAGTTGAGCAGCACTTCTACTGAGTGTTGGGACCACAATGCCAAATGCTCTATGTCTTAGTTGTAGTCTTATTAAAAGTCTATGTCAGACAGTGTCAGACAGTGTATGTGGATCGACTGTGTGGACTTGGTACATGAGTTACATGAGTCTTGTGGCATCAAGCAGGCAAGTGACAGGCAATTCAATGTTTTGGCTTTCTCCTGCACGGTATCAATGTTCCGGAGCTCCTTCAGCAGTCCGTCCTCAATGAATCCTGCGGGGCGCCGATGCCGATTCCCTTTGAGGACATTCACTGGGCACGGTGGGCATGGCAAACACAGGCAAATAAATCATATCACAATAATATATATCTTATTACCGTACGCCGTACGTACCCTATTATCAAGCTATTGAACTTGATTGTGAGAAGAAACACAGAATTGACCCTGGCGAATTGACCGTGGCTCGCTCCTTCGCTCAGCTTCAATAGGTTGGTCAAGCATAAAGCGTCAGACTCATGTAGTTTCACCGCCTCATGAAGCTCCCTGGACGATTTGCTCTGAGCAGGCAAGAGGAAAGACTCAAGAGTCTTTTGATCACACTGCTGAGCGATGCCCTCAGAGACATCCTTCAGCTCTCCAGCCTCGCTCAATCTTAGCAGCATCTCCTTCCTGCTCTTGCTTCGGGATAAGATCTTGTTGCACAGGTCCTTTACAGCCGCTTCGCAGGCCTTTGTCTCAGATTCCTGAATATGTTTTCGTTGGGCTCAAAGAAAAAAAGAGCAAGTCAGTCCTAATATTAATATATGATATGAGTTTTATTTAATAGTATATTATATAATATTATCTTGTAATCGTGTAACTTGTAAGCAGCACTAGCACTGCACCATCACATCACCAAAACCTGCAGGAAACATGCTATTCTGACCCTCGAACTCTAATATAACGGTTCATCAGTCACTCAATCTGAATGTTTGAATGTCACTGTCACTGTTACAACATTGACAATTGACATAACATTTAAGTTTAAGTGTAAGTTGCTAAAAACATTCAATTAAAACTCAGAGTACAAACACACGCACACAGTGTCACAGCGTCACACTGACACATGTTCATCTCAATATCGCCAAGGGTCCGACAAGGAAGATAAAGTTGTTCTTAACAACTGGCTGCCATCACTGCCATCTGCACTATCTGCATTCAGCTGCACCTTCCCAATCGCAAACGAACATTTGGACCTGAGCTTCGAGCGCTAGCCGACTGCACCAACTACATCTCTTGGACCCTTGGACCTTGGACCTTTGGCGGACCTTCAGTCGCACTTCAGAAAGGTTGCCAACTTTCAACAATAGGGCTGATCAGTAACATTAACATAACATACGAGCATCATTTGCGGAAAATAGTCAGTGACAAATAGCAAAGCCTGGACACGTCAGCAAATTGCAGTCTGCCACCAGACTCGGCAACTTTTCAAATTCCTTCACGTTCCCGAACTCATTGATTTTGTCAGCGGCATTTCCCAAAGCGCCGATTGTTTCTTGCAGCTTCTTGGAATGGCAAAGCATGGTAACAATCCGAGGCAAAATGAATAGAACCCAGTAAGGAACTTGTACATCTTGCAGAAGAGAGGTGTCGTCGCCTGTCTCCACAAAGGTAATGGCGTTCACCATCATTTTCTCCAAGAAGCCGGTGGAGCCGTCCTGCCCAATGTCTGGGCATTTAGTAGACAGCGCCAACAACTGTTCCAGCTCCTCACCTCCGGTGGTGGACTGTGTTTTGTGAGCTTCGACTCAGAACTAGAGCCACGGCCACAAACTCACAAATCATAAACAGTGACTAGTAAGACCTGCTGACAATGCTACAAACTCAGTAGGTGGGCGAGGGTGACCATATCATATAGGGTCAGTTGTCAGGGACATGGACACGGTGACATGATATTGAATAAGCGGGGCCGGTGTGTTCCTGACAGGGGCTCCGGTCCCCGCTGGACAATGTCGGTTTGCCGTCGCTTTCTAATGTTTGTTCAATTATGTGTTTTTTACTTTATTACTATTACTTATCAACATTGTTGCCGCTAATCATTGAATACGTTTGATCAACAATGGAGCTAGTAAACTACTGCCATTGTTAACCCAGTTAACTCAGTTAACAGTTAACCATTATACTATACCTTTTTATGAAAAATATGATTTTGTTTTGTATACAGTTTGGTTATATTATTGGTTAAGTTATGTACTGTAATTGTGTGTTAAACAATGCAAGAAGGCTTGGTATGGTATAGGCTCAGCTTGGGTCCCGTTTCTGCCACTCAAGTTTGCAGGAGCTTTCGTGGTGTGGGTTGTGTTGTGAATCTTAGTGAATCTTGGTCTAACCCTACCCTTTGCACTGCAGCACACAGCACTCATCTCTCCTGCCTTGTAGGCTCAGCGACAATGCATTCCCCATGCTTGCCTGCTTAAGGACTTTTGCCACAGTCTTGTGGCCCAGAAGTGGTCCTAGAGTCTTTCCCAGCTGCTTGTCAAGCAGAAGCATAGACCTCGTTGTGCACACGTCTTTGATCTGCTGGAAGCTGTCTTGCAACTTGATATTCGCTGGTGGCTGGGTCATGAAATCGCCAAAAGCCTGCAGACCTTCATCGCTGAAGTCCCACGGGGAGTCACACACGAGCTGCACAAAGCAGCCACGAAGCACCAGCATGACTTTCCTCAGCTTCTGTGAGTGAGAGATTCAGCTGATTCACGTCCAACAAAATAAGGTCACAGAGTCATAGAGTCATAGAGTATGAGTCATGAGTAGTATTATAACTATAATTATGTCATCTCATTGTTCATTGGGTCAACATACTTCAGAGATATGAGATATTTATAATTTATATGCAATATATTTATGATTGATATATTCTAAATCTCTCAGATACATCTATGAATCTATGAATATCGAATCGTTGAATCATATATAGTACAACTTGACCTTGACCCTCAAAGTTGGTGAAGGTCGACCAATAGAAAACTACTGTTGATGTGTCAGGAGTGATTCCCCAAGCAATGTTGAACCATGGACTATGGACCATCCATCACGGCTATGGGCTATGTCTACTTCATACATCCCGCACCCCACAATGACACAGGTGGTTATGCATACCACAACATGAGACAATGCTGGGCAACAGGAAATCCATGGACATTCAAAACCCCCTGAAGGTTTTTCGGCCAACCAAAAAAGAAGACTGCATCAGGCGCAGTGTCTTGACACTTTCCACTGTCTCCTGAAAGCTAACGAATGTG